ATTAATAGTGTGTGTGTGTGTGTGTGTGTGTGTGTGTGTGTGTGTGTGTGTGTGTGTGTGTGTGTGTGTGTGTGTGTGTGGCGCGTGTGTGAGAGGGAGAGAAAGAGAGACAATGTCGGTACAAATAAGGTACGTAGATTGAAAAAGACTATTTATTCTCTTCTGTCAAAATAAATTTTATCTTTGTTTGAAATTTGAAATGCAAGTAGCAATATATAAAAACATAAAAAAAGAATAAAATAAAGTTGAAAGGGAGGAGGGGAGTTATTAAAATTCAGAATTATATCTTTCTTATATCTTTTTATTTACTTTTTATTTAAGTCTATGTATATCCGAATTAATATATATATCCTATGCATTTCTCACAATTAATGAGAAACACTGCGTTACATAAGAAATAAATTTATGCCGTATCAGTCTTACAGCAGCTAGAAGATGGCAATTCACAGGCAGGAATTAAAACCTTGTCAATTTTACTAGTGAGACCTGTCAAGAGTTTCATAGATTGTGGCGTCGGTGTCGTTCTGAAAAACAAAAATACATGTTGTGTATGATGAAAGAAACATTTTTTGTGAACGTAATATTGTTATCGTGTAAGAAAATTTGTTATTAAAATAATTCAAAGAATCAACAGATAAATTCACTAAAATTACAAATTAATTACAATTATTAATTATTAATTACAAACTAAAATTACAAATTAATTGCGATGGATTGCATAATCTATGAATATACTTTCTAAATGTTCTTTAAAATAAAACGAAGCAAATATTCGTAGAATACTTACGAAATTGGTGAAGGTGGCACTTGAAAATCGAAATCGTATCTCGTTGTAATTGGCACGGATGGAGGTGGTAGAGTCTGAATGTTGTAAGCGTAAGATTTTCCTCGAAGAGGATCCGACGTGACTATTTCCAAAGATTCAGGAACTTGAGGTATTTGTATGGAAACTGGATATTCCGTTTGCGGTTGATAAGGAAGGGAAGGTTCAGTAGGGATTATTCGGTAATTTAATTTCAATGGTTGATAAACACACGGCGGTGTAGGTAAAACGAGTTCTGTCACGGGCTTTATAGGTTCCTGTAAATTTTATAATGCT